AAGAGCTTGGCCCACCTGAGACAGAGGCAGACAAAAGAGTAAAAACACTCAAGGCAGAAATTTCCGAGCGATTTAAGAAACATCTAGCCAAAGAGAGAAACAAGGAGCAGTCTTCCGCCTCGGAGAGTGAAGCTCCCAAAGGACCTGTCAAGGCCAAGCCTATGCCTAAAAAGCCGAAGGATGCCGCCGCTGCGGCTAGCTCCGATCAAGCATCCGGCAACATTGACCCTGACACTGAAGTTGATCTGCATGCCAATTCTCCCTGGGGCGGCCGCAGACAGGTTATCAAGACAAAAAGACGCCGTGAGATGAACGCCCAGGCAAAGGATTTGTTCCGTGATGCGGACGCCGCCCAAAAGTTTTTCACTAAGTTTAAAAAGGATACAGAAGAAATTCAATGGTTTCCTCGCCCTGCGGGTCCTCAATGCTGTAAGAATTTTGAAGACTGTGGTAATTCAGAGGCAATGTTCTGGTGCCACCCTTGTGGCTTTGCCTACTGCTTGGAATGCCGCACCTGCGGCTTATCTTGCAAACATAACATTGTTAATTTTTCCTCTGAGTTGTCATCCGATTTTATTCCAGACAGCATCGGCTCAACCAAATCGCCTTTCGATATCGAAGAATTGGTTGATGCTGTTCTCGCTGAATCTTCGTATTTCGGAGCCACACGCCGAGAGCATGCTCAAAACCGCCAAGAAAAATTCTCGGAACTGATCACGCATCTGCGTGAGGGCCGCTCCATTGGAAACACCTACCTTCAGTCTTTTGCACGTCATGGAATTGAAGATTTTGATTATACAGAATTGATTTATGAAATGCCATTTGGATGTCGAATTCCGACTCTCCAGGAGCACTTTGTTGATGCCCAGGACCAGACGCCTCTTCCGATCTGGCGACCTGAGGCTTTCTTCAAGTACCCTGACGGCGGTGACCTTACGTCAGAGGAGATTCTCCGTTTATTGGAGCTCTTCAGATCGTGCCTTCTTGGTAAGAGAGCAATCCTCGGTGTTACCAAGCGCACTAAGGACAACATCCATGAATTTCAGAAGGACACGTATCAGCTTGGCATTTTGACGTTGAACCTTGGTCACATCAACCGTATTCCGTATATCGGAGGTTGTTCAAAATTTCCAAAATGGGTACGAACTGATATCAACCACCGTGCATTGCCACATTTAGTGTTCCGTAATGCGGCCCATATTGTGTGCTTGTGCGAGGCTTCCGACGAGTACGGAGGAATTGCCGTCCATCGAGAACTTGCCGAAGAGTATGGGATGATCGGCATGGTAGTGCACCCGCACATCCAGTCACAATCCCTTGCAATTTTTCTCCGTGGCTCACATGATGCAGGCTCATTTATTGAACTTTTATGTCAACACCAAATTGAAACGTCCACTAAAGATGCACCTTTCTGGATTTTGCATGGCGCCATTTTTCGCCTTTGCCATGGAATGAACACGTCAGGAGAATTTGTTGATCCTTCTTCTGGCGCTCGTGTTCCGAAACCGGACATCGAGAAAAATGCCGAATCTACGGTTTACCAGCATGATCGCCCACTTGCATCCTCACTCGATTTTCTTGATCACTCGATCTGCGAGATCGACGGAGATGATGACCTTGCCGTCTCCGGAGTGGAAGCTTGTGAAGTGAATCTTGGAGCTGACACCCATGACGTCCGACGTCTCATGTTAGCTGAATGCCGTATAGCGGTTTTTCATATCTCCTCATATGCATGGAGTAATGCCTACAAAGAAACGTGCCAGAAATGGCTCCAATTTGTCGCAAGCTGTATCGAACATCAGTGTGACTTTTTGTCCGGTGACGGAAATCTTTTCGCACAGCGAAGTTTTAAGGCAGATGATCATTCCGATTTTCGGACATGCATCCTGATCGACATTTTGGAGCGTTTCCTTCAGCAAATCAATCTTCACCGCAGTCCGATAAACCGTATTACGTATAACGTAGTTTCATCGACCACTGCCGCTGATTACATCCGAAGCATGCGTGGAGATGATGCTGATTGTGATTCAATGCTTTTAATTTCTCTTTGTTACGGTAAGCAGATCGCTGTCACGGAAGCACGTGCAAAAGAAGAATCCGCTTCTGCTGATGGATTTGCAGGATCTGCCTTTTCAGATGAAGTTATGCTGAACGATGTTGAACAGCTAAAACATTTGATGGCATATGACCTTGGTTTGGCAGAAAAGGACTGTGGATGGCACTCACCTCTCCTTGCCTATGCCCAATTGAAGGCATTGAAAAATATGCGCATCCGATCCAAGGAATCTGAAGATAAAAGACGTGAAAAATGGATGCAGAGAACGCAAGGATATCTCGAAAAACGAGAAGAAAGGAGAGATAGTGTTCCGCCTTTACGGACTGACTCACACCGAAATGTTGGACGCACTCGAAGTCGATCGGTCAGCAGGACCAGAACATATCGACCCAGAGCTGAAACACCAGCACCGCCTCCGGCACCTGTGCGAGGTCCAGCAGAGAAGGCCAGACCAGTGCAATATAAAGCTGCACCAAGATCCTTAAGAGAACCATCCGCACCGACGTCATCAGGATCTTCCTCAAGTGCAAGGCCGCCTGTAAAGGCTCCTCCAGTTCCGGTTCCCGGACGAACATTAGGTTCACAACAGCCTCGAACGCCACCTGATCCGCCAGGTCCACCGAAGACTCCACCGCCGTGGAGAGAGAGATCGCAGCAGGCAGAACAGAGGCAAACAACCAGAAAGAGGCCAATCAACGTGCCTGAGCCTCCTGCGCCTCCATCCCGCTTGTCGGGTTCGCAATGGCTTAACCAAGGAACAGCTTCCAGCTCTTCCGGACACCGTAATTTCGGTTACAGCTATGATCAGCCGTCGTACTATAGAGTGAATCCCAATACCACTCAAGTAGAATACGTCCCAGGGTACCAAGTACCCAGACAGCGTTGGGTCCAGAAATACGACGGATCGTGGCTTGACATGATCCCGCAAACACCGGATCAGTCCATTTTCTTTCATCAGTCCGGGGAACACCGTAGGCAAAACGAGTTGAGTTTCTACGGTTACTATTTCACTATGGGCTTGTAGCCCCAGAAAAATTGCAATGTTCCGCATTTGCGGTAGCTTGACAGCAGCCGAAAACCAACCGCTTTCCAACAGCGGAGAGTAGCTTTTTGTACAGTTTTGTTTTTGTCTTCGGACCGTCTCACAGCAGATCACAGGCTGAGCGCTACCTGTGAAACAGACTTGCATGTTCCGACACGAAGAAAATTTGTGTCTGTTTGTGATTTATTTTGTTTTACGTGTCTACACAATGCTTTCATGCACGTTGACATGTACACCTAATTCATATCTTTCATGCGCACTCCGCATGGCTCAAGACTAGCAAAGCCGCGTAGAAAAAGAGTCGCAGTCTTGCCGCTGACCGCAGGTGTTAGATCCGTAATTCAGGGCTCCCCTAATACGGGGATAGCTACCTCACCCCCCCTGTGGTGTGGTGGATGGGTCCCATATACTGGTCCCATATGAGATCTTCCCCCTCCCCCCCTGTGGTGTGGTGGGGGTGTGGCACTGTCCCCCTCCCCCCCCTGTGGTGCGGTGGATGGGTCCCATATACTGGTCCCATATGAGATCTTCCCCCTCCCCCCCCTGTGGTGTGGTGGGGGTGTGGCACTGTCCCCCTCCCCCCCCTGTGGTGTGGTGGATGGGTCCCATATACTGGTCCCATATGAGATCTTCCCCCTCCCCCCCCTGTGGTGTGGTGGGGGTGTGGCACTGTCCCCCTCCCCCCCTGTGGTGTGGTGGGGGTGTGGTATGGTATGGTGGGTATGTATGGTGTGTATGGTCGGTCTGGTATGGCATGTTTGGAAAGTATGGTATGTTTGGTATGTATGGTAGGTATGGTATGTATGGCATGAGTGGTTGGTATTGTATGGATGGTAGGTATGGTATGTAAGTCTGTTGGATATGGTATGTTTGATATGACAGTATGTATGGTCTGTATGGTATGTATGGTTACTATGGTGGGTATGGAATATGTCCTATCTAAGGTAGGTATGGTATGTATGGCATGTATGCTTGCTATTGTATGTATGCTATTGTATGTATGGTAGGTGTGGTAATTACATTTCATATGTATGGTATGTATGGTATGTATGATAGATATGATAGGTATGGTATGCATGGCATCATTGACATGTATGGTAGGTACGGTATATGTTCAACAGAGGTAGTGTTGTCAGAGTACACAGGTAGTAAACAGGAAGTAGATACAGTAGATACATAGCACATATATGTATGACTATAGGTAGCACGTAGGTACTTTGAAGGAGTATGTGTGCTACGTAGGTCGCCTAAAAGGTAGCATGTACCTAGTAAATGCGAGGCTGGTAGTCAGAAATGCTGCAAAGACCTAGCAAATACGAAGCTGGACCTCAGAAATGCTGCCAATAGCTTGCAAATAGAAGGGAATCGGGGCTACTACCTGGGGACCCAACCCATGGGGGGGGGGTGGAGAGACGGAGGACGGGACCATATATACACATAGAGTTATATATATATATAGTTATATATATATATATAAAGTGACACACTCACACACACACACAGATGCTTTTGCTGCTTGCAGCTTGGAACTTGCGGTGCTTCCTATCTACATTGAGTGTTCTTGTTCTTGTCCGGTGTGGCTTGATGGTGCAACAAACTCTGGTCTGGGTCAATATCTAAGGCCCGTTGAAGTTCCGCAGTTCTTTTTCAATTTTTGACCATGCCCCTATGAGTTGATATGGCTATGGATCAATACCTATTAATACCATTTTTAGGGGGATGAACATCCATTTACCAGCTATTTTGATGTGAACTACAGGGGTACAAGGTTTTGACACACTGCCATATGAGTTGTTTAAAGCTCATGAACACACGAATCATAGGTTGCGTTTCCACACTTGTCGGTTTCATCCTTATTTTTGATGGTCGATGGCCATTCCGAATGGCCTCCAGTGGACATAG